CCGTTTGTGTCGATTGGATCTGACGCGGCTTTTATTTTGAAAGGCTAAATGGCAGATTAGTGCGCAAACTCGGAGTTTCTTTTCGACAATTTAGCACAATTTAAAATGTCCTTTAAATATTCTTAAAAATAAAACATTAAACATACACTAAGAACAGTTAAAATATGTTTTTATATTGAAGCTGAAAAGTTTCTGGCCAACTTCTAATTTGTTTTTTGCTTCACCCCTTAGAGCTGGAAAAATAAAATAAAATTCAGATATTGTTTTGGATAAATATTATGCTTGTGTGGTGGCAATCTAATCCTGTTTACAGTGTGTTTATACAAAACTTTGTCCTTTATTTCAAGTCACTGAAATTTGCAGAAAAATTAAGCAGAAAGGTAAAACAAACAAACAAAAAACTGCACACATCCTTATCACAGTCTTTGCTTTTGCGAAAATGTGTCTGTTGTATAGCCATGTATAACTTTTCTTTGTGTCTGCAACAGATAATTCTGCAGTGGCTTTTCCACAATTAAAAGAGGAACTTTTCTCTTCTTAAATGTAATATAATTGGCCACTTTATTAGGTTCAACCTGACTCTACAAGTTGGACTTCCTGTTACTTTCAGAAGTACCTTAATTCTTTGTGGCATAGACTCAACAAGGTACTAGAAAAATCAGTGTTATCTTGCTGGAAGCAGTCATGAAAAATATCTACACATAGTAAAATGATGCATATGGTCAACAATACACAGGTAGACTGAGTAGGCCAAGTAGACTCAGTTAGGAGGGTCCCAAATTTTGCACAAAAGTAACCACTCACATCATTATACCAGCAGCAGCTTAAATCGTTGATACAAGTATGTATGCATAGAGGATGGAGCCATGCATATATGTTATTTATGCCAAATGCTGAATCTGTAATCTGAATATTGAAGCAGAAATAAATACTCAGCCTCAGTTTATGGTTTTTACCTGACAGGAGTGACACATGGTCATCTGTACATTCAGAGATCCTCTTCTGCTTACCTTGGTCATAACAAGTGGTTATTTGAGTTACTAGTCTCAACCATTGTATTAAGGCTGATGATAGAAGGTGATTTGAACAACAACCCCAGGTGTATGTGGCTCAAATTCACCAGATACACAACAGGCATGGGGCTGATTACCAACAATGATGAGAGAGAGGCAATTGACAAATAACATAGTAGTGGATTTCTGAAGGTCCAAGAGAACAGATCCACCCCCCAAATATAAATCAGTGGTCAGGATGTGGAGATTAAATTTGTCTCTGTCCACCTCTCGCTCAACAATGTGTATACTTCCTGAGGAAGGTTGGGCTACCTCAGAACCTAATTTCTGCCAGGATCCAGCTACATGCAATCAGT